GAACTAAGACATTTATTATGTCATACTCACACCAATATCCTGTCATTATAACTCATTTCACTGATACAATCTGCGAATTTTACTGAAATCATTCTCTCAGTATACAGCTGTACTGACGATTAGTATTTAAAAAATACCTCAGAGATTACTATCATGAAGAAAAGATTCTGGTTTAGTCTACTTAACACAAAAGATGGAAAGAGGACAAATAGGTAGAAAACAGAATACAGATATAATTACAGCATACAATGTCATTTTATTTTTCAAATCATTTAAATGGAGATTGGAATGGCTTTGCTAGCTAAGAAATGTCTCATCAAGGTGACCAATCAAAGACTTGGTGATGATTTATGAGAAGTCTACTTCTAAATAATGCCCCAAGATTCCAAACAGATCAATGACCCATATCCAATTATTGCAAAAGCCACTGCACATTACGTGATAGGTATCTCCTTCCATATTAGAAAAATAAATGATTCTATTTTGAAAGAGTATAATAGCAAAAGCTTTAATTTTATACACAAAATGCTAAATATTATGCTTTTTGTTTCTCCTAGTGCTTCCCAACACCTTCCACAAGCTAAAGAAAAAATTAATATTAACCATTTTTACCCATCAATTGTATTAGTATTTGAAAAACTGAATCCAAGAACATTAAGTATTTTGCTTTATTTTTGTAAACACAAACTAAAAGAACTCTAGACAACTGGTAATAAATGAATATAGTAATTTAAATAAGGACAGTAATTAAATCATGCCAAGTATGGTAGAATAAACAAGAGTTTCTTCCCAAGGCAAACATAAAACCCTTGCCATGATAATTCGTAATAAAATACAGCAGACCATCTGGAAAAACCTGTGCTGTTTTCATCCTGAAAGAATGAAGTTTTGGAAATGCTAAAAGTCAGTTAAGATTCTGTTTCTCATTTACAAGCCAACAATTCCCCTGTGTTTCTCTCAAATAGCCACACACAACTGAACAGCAAAGAGATGCTCAAATTCCTGGTCACAAGTGTACAGTTAGCCAGGAGAAAATACATCAGGACACTACTCAGAAACATGTGCACCTATTGCCACCACTCCTAAAATAACATTCAACCCTCCCCTAGTAGAGTAAATGTGTTATTACTGAGGTTAATGAACTTTAAGTACACTAAGATTCAGCTTATTAAGTCTACTATCAAGGAAAAATTTTAGTCAAAGAATATTCACCAATATTCTTTCTTCAATATTCTATGATTTTTATTCTATAACCCTAACATTACTTTTTGTAGCACAAAAAGTGAAAGACTATGTCATGTATTTACTTATAAATAAATTTCTGAAAATAAAGATATAAAGCAAAAGGTGTTAGAAAAATCATCTATAGACTATGGGTTACAGTTTTTGTAAAGGATGTCTTGAATGATTTTTAATTGGGGGTGTTGTTATGATCCTCTGAGAGACTAATAAGAACAGTAATGGGGGTAGGGAAACACATACTTACAAATTGAAACAAAATAGGCATATAAATGTTTTTCTAAGGATATGTTAAAATGAGTAGTTTTTAATTTGGGAGAATGTAGAGAACGCTGAACTTCTGATTCTGAGAGACTACAAGTTGTAACAAGCAAAAAAAAAAGATGCTTATTTACAAATAAAAATCAGAGGCAAATAAATTTAGATGAAGTTCTCAAAGACAGTAAAACTCAAGTACGATATTCAAAACATTTTTACAATTACCTTTACAGAAAACAGTTAAGAAAAAAGCTTTGTCCTTCAGCTAAGTGTATGTAAAACAACTAAGTTCACTACTCCTTGATTTTTCAAATGTAGACAAAATAACACAGGTATGTGACTTATTCCTCAGAAATATCAAGTACTACACGTTTATTAATTTTTTTGTTTATCAATTTTTAAAGTCTTTTTAATATGTTTAGGTTATCGTCCATTAAAATTTACTAAATTAACACAACTCCATTTTCTTAAGTGATCAAAACATTTTAAAAAAAATTTTTATTAAAAAAAAGTAAAAAATTTTTATTCAATTAAGACTTATTCTGTATCATGAATTGCCCTGTGCTTCTACCATAAAAAATTTTGAGGACATCCAAAACCCTCAACTTTGCTCAAATAATTTTCACAATTTTGGCCTCCAAAAAGTATAAAATTTTACCACAAATAATAAAAATCATATTATTCTAACTGACTCTGATGGCCTTACAGGTAAAGGTGCTAAAAGAGCTGCACTGGCAACCCAAAGGCAAGCAGTTCAAACCAACCAGATGCTTGTCAAGGGAATGATGGGCAATCTCCTCCTATGTGATTTAGAGTAGCTTAAAATCCACTGGAGAGTCAGCTATGAGTCAGTTCTAACACCACAGCAATGATGATCAAAGCTGAGGGTCTTTTTTTTTGAAAGGCACATTATCAAAAATAATTTCTAGGTTAGAGATGAAATAAAAGAGAAAATAAAATTCTACAGTTTAAAGTGATCAATGAGTTAAAACTTAATATAAGAAACCTTAAAGACAAACCAATAGTATGGCAGACACCGACAAAGGAGATTAATCAGAACTGACTTTGACAAGCACTGTGGCAATTGGACAATTAAAACAGACATTCGGATGGCGGGGAAGAAGAACAAACTGGGGAGGAGGGTGGAGAGAATGGTGCGGCAATGAAGGAGTGAAAGCCCAGAATCCCTGTGAATGTTCACTGAAACTAATAAAATTTAATAATAATTAAAAAAAAAATCATTCCGAATCCTTTGAAAAAAACAAAACATTTATGGAAATAATGGACAACAGGACAGGCATTAAGAATTTTTAAAGTCTCTTAATAGTATCTCATCACATTATGTCTTTGAAAATAAGCCACTTTGGTAAAATAGTTTTCTAAATGGAAGCAAGATGTGGTTTTTTTATCCCCTTTTGCTCATCTCCAGATAACATGAAATCAATAGCCAAAAGGAGAAAATGTGAAGAAATAATAAATCTGGAACAATTCTGAAATCATATTTATAAAGAATTCATTAATTCTGAACTCATATTTATAAAGAATTCAAGAATTTATTTAATATGCTATCTATTGATTGACCTATTTCTACTGGTTACAAAGAACAATTATTTTTTTTAATAGGAAGCAATGTTAGACCTAGGTAGAAAAATAGTTTTTAAATTTTATTATTTTTTTTTAAAATTTTATTTTTGTGTGCATGTACCGTCAAATCAGATCTGACTAGTACAGGAGGAGATTGTCCCTCCTTCCCCGGCAGAGCATCTGGTGGATTCGAGCCGTGTGCCTCTGGGATTGTAGTTGCAGCTCCTTGCCACTAGGCCACCAGAGCTCCCCTAAAATTTTAAACTTTCATTTTTAAGTTCATTATTTTCACCCTGAATTTAAACTGTGATGCCCAGCTGGGACCACTGAAAAGGTTTATTGATCTTCTTACAGACAGACCCTATATATACAGATAGATATTTGCATATAATGTACCCATAAATAATGTGCACAGGCATAAAACATAGAATATGCGACGTTAATGTGACAGAGGTTGCAATTTTTTATTTGCAAAAAATCATACAGCATTTGTGTGATTTGAATAAAAATATGGTATATCAGAAGTCTGAATAATCTCTATGAATTTTTAGGTGAATAGCTGGCACGTAGATTATGCTCAAGCAAAACAATGTGAACACACCTCAATGGGAGAAAAGAGATAGTGGGATATTACTCACAGTTTAATTCTGACACTTCTTTCTAGGGAAGAAGGGGAAATGTTTATAAACGTAAGTGAACCTAAAAAGAGCCACATTAAAGGTAGATATGGGGCTCAGCAGAGTTGAGGTGGGAAATGAGAGCAGAAGGACAATTAAGCAAGGAGGTGGACAGAGTCGTGGGGAAAGAAGGCACTGTAAAAATCTTGGAAGCATAAGCTCAGTTTGCCTATGGTGCTTCATATACTAACCTAGAAGCCATTTTATCTTCTTTCACTTTTGCTAAAAAGGTTCTCTATTTAGATTAAAGCATCAAAATCATTTATTTGATGTAATTGCGTATTTTAATGCAAATATCTTTTGCTTGCCTTTTAAGTTTGTTTGTTCCTTCCCTGAAACGAACATATTTTCATAGGGGCATTAAGCTAATATCTTTTCATCAGCTTTTGAAAAATCAAGACACATACTCTTTATGAATCTTACATAATACATATTTGCATAAAAATACAGTTGTTCTAGGCTTATGTCTATAGGCTTTCTTTTGGTGTGCATAATATTTCATTTTGGTTTTGTTTTTGGAACTGTCCAAGACCAAGTAATGGCATTCTAGGTAAAGGTTCTAGACGCAAACAGTGTGGGCAGCTCAAGTACCTTACAACCCACTCAGCACTTACATAATCACATGACATTACATAACTTATCAAGGGAGAAGGCAATGGGGATGGGTGATGTGTTTTCTCTCATTTTTTTTATACTATTAAATTTTTTTTTAATTTTTACATTAAAAGAAACATCTTTGAAGTACAACATAAAAGTTGTATGAATTTGAAGATAAAAAGATCCTTCAAAGAGTCACTGACCTTTCAAGGGGTCCCTGGTGTCTTGGTGCATTTGTTCCCATTCCTCCACTTTCTGAGTAAACCCAGGAGAAAGAGGTGGAAGCACTGTCTCCCCATAGGGTGACTGCGCTGATGCTTCACAGAACAGATAACAAATAAGGAAGCGCAAGTGTCCAGGTACGAATTCTTTTTAAAAAAAAACACTAAAGAAATGTTTTCTCCTTTAAATTCAAGTCTGTGCTTTTATAATTCCTTGTATAACATTTCCACAGGTTTTGAAATTCTGCTTTAGATATGTGAAGTATAAATTTGGCCTACAGTGCCAACAACTAAAGCGTAAAATTGACAAGGTGTTCAGAACATGAATCACTTCATATGTTATTTCTGTGGTAGGTGATTAAAAGCCAATGATTCTCACAGGTCTGACATCTGGATCTCACTAGAAACAAATTGCTCAACTTACCTGGTGCTAATCCAGCAGGAGTGGGGCTTCCCAGGGCTGGGTGAGAGAACACTTGAGAGAAGGCAGACATATTGGACGGGGACAGGTTACTCAGCCTGGAGGTTGATCCTCCTTTAGGGACAAACTCGCTTGCAGTAGGATTTGGTGTCTATTTAAAAATCAAATATAGTAAGTTAACACACTTTAAGTCCAAAAACAGTCATCTGAATCTACGAGGCATTATTCCACAGTGCTTTAGTTACTGATAATTATCTGAGCTAAATATTTTCTGAAGAGAATTTGTTAAGTATTTTTGGGTCTGCTTTTTGGTGTGGCTGAAAGAAATTTGATCATCAAATCTGAGTCCTTGAATTACTGAATTATTTAATTTGCAGAATTTTAACCCCAGGAAAAGTAAAATGTCTCTCATCAAGATATCCATTTATTGTCAAGTGTCCTAACTAATAAATTTTAAGAAACTGAAGGGGGTAAGATCACCTGAAAACGGAGCCAAAAAGTTTCCAATTTAATATTTTTAAACCACTCCTACTACCATAAGAGCCATGCCTATATTCCAAAATTAATCACTTCCTTTTTATATAAGCATTTAAGATGCTTCCCCCAATAACATGGTGCCATATACTTAAGTAACAGTAAAGGCAAGAAAAGCACTGGAAAATAGGACAAATGTGCGAGGAATCACAAAAAAGTAAAAACAAAATAGGAAACTTCAGTCCTTACAAAGTATTACATACAATTTCTGTTATATAAAAAAGAATTTACGGTAAAATAACATGAAATTTTCTTTTTTTCAGTTACACTATATCATATCTTTGTGTATGTTCAGACAGCATGGTCCTTTTGGACTTGAAAATTACCACAGTATCAAGAGAAGGCAAATCAAAGAGTCATAAACAGTCTATAATTTATTCATATGCAACAGCTGAATATCCTAGAAATTTTTGTGAAGTACCAATCATTTTAAATTCTCCATGCTAAAATATGATAAACTCAATGAAAGTCAACATTAAATAACATAATTTCAACTCAACATCCAACAGTGTCAACAGTAAAAATAATTTAAAGGGAAATTTTAGTATACTTGAGGTTTAGCCTATATTTTACATATACACACCAGGCTTACAGCATATTGTGCTCATCATAATGAGTTTTTAACATCTTAAAAACACTTTACACTGATAAAAGATCTTTTAAAACAGAGTTTTCATAGGAAACAGAAAGGTAAGGTTAAAGTAATTCTTGTATTACACAAGAGCAATATCCTCCTTTATGATGAAGTGTTTTTTAAATTGCCAAGTCAGAGTTCAAAATACTGAGTGTAGAAGGTAGAAAGTCAACAGACTAGCCTACTTTAAAGTATGTAACAAAAATATTACCAGTTGTGAGCCAACTAAAAAATAAATACAAAGTGATAAGATAAAGAGAACATGCTATATCTAAGTCTAACCAACATATACTAGCTAAAAGTGACTAAACCTCCCTATTGTTTCATCTAACAAAAGAAAATCTGAAAAACTAAGCAAATAAATAAAAATCAGGGTAAAGCCAACATTTCCAACAGAATATCTTTATATATATTTTTTTTTAATTTTCAGCTATTTTAAAAATATTTTATATCTATTCTTTTTACCTGTTATTTACACATATCTAAACAACAACAGCTCTGGTGGCCTACCAGTAAGAAGTTTCACTGCCAGCCGAAAGACTCCATCAGCTGCTCGGCAGGAGAAAGACAGGAAATCTCTTCCTGTGCTATATACAGCTTCTGAAAACTAGCTGGAGGGTCAATGAGGAGTCAGTTTCAACTTGAAGGCACATAACAAAACTACCGTCAACCAGCTAATTCCAACTCATAGCAATCCTCTACTGGGCTTCCAATGTTGTAAATCTTTATGGGAAGAAACTGCCCGTCTTTCTTTCATGAAGCAGCTGGTGGAGTCAAACTGCTAGCTGTATGGCTAGCAGCACAACATGAAACCTACTATAATATCAGAGCTCCTTCTATACTTCTACATCCTCCAAATTCTTAAGTTTTCAAAATGGTTGCATGTTCTCTGAACATATACTCACTCACTGCCATCAAGCTGAAAACAATTCATAGCTGACCCTCCAGCAGGTTTTCTGAGGCTGTAAACCACACAGGAGACGATTATTCATCTTTCTCCCATGGAGAAGCAGGTAGTTTAAAACCAGGCTCTGCCTTTTGGTTAGCAGTGCAACTCCTATGCAATTAAGAGCTCTCTCTTTTGAACATTTAGCAACTCAGTGATTCCCAAAGTAGAACTAAGCCAATACATTTTAATGATAGAGCAAATTCCTAGTTAGGAGGAGACAAATAGCTATTTAGTAGAATCACAAGTGCCTCTGAAGTGAATTAGTGTACCAGTTGTTGCTGCACGCAGTCAAGTCACCATCAATAGCTAACCCATCAGTGGGTTTTCAGAGGCAGTAAAATGCACAGGAAATTGCCCATCCATCTCTCATGGAGCAGCTGACAGATTCAAACTGTGTACCTTTTTGGGTTTGCAATGCAGCTTCTTACCCCTAGGCCACCCACCAGTTAATGCTGAGTTTATCAAGATAAAATGCAAAGATCAAGATAAAAGCAATGAGGTACCCATGGTAAAAGGGTCCAGAATGGCTAAAAGAGACGGAAAGTTTAAGGACAGAGATGCACAAGGTTATCAGCAAAGTTAATGAAGAAAAAATTTTATCTGAACATGAAAATCTTTGCAGCATATTACAAAGAAATAGGTATTACCCAGTTTCCCTTTCATTTCATCCTAAGGAAAAAGAAGCCAAAGGTGGTCACCATGACCATCACTCTGAGTTGAAAGGTGAGTTTCTAAAACTAAACTCGACCTTAAATTAATGTGAATGTCTAAAGTGATCCTATAACAGAAAAATAGGGACGTTTAATCTACAACAAATTGCACAGCACATAAAATTTTATTACATCAAATTATTACAGGGCTTTTAAAGTTGTTTTCTTTTCAAAGACTATTAAACTGAGACATTAAACTGCAACTCTGAGATATACAAGGACCAGAGATGCCAAAACTTTATGCAACAATGAATTTAAATTTAAAACTGAGATACCAGGGCCTAAAATCCTTCCTACTTTTTCTCCTCCTTCACACACCCTAAAAACCACCTCCTTTCTTTCTTTGTCTAGATTTAAGTTGGGCGTGTCCCTCCCCTTGAGTGAGAGGTTTGGGAATTTGTATTTGAAAATAAAGAAAAGGTTTAAATAACAGAAAAAAAGATCATTAGGATGTAGGTGCAAAGCAAAGTCCAACAGGAGATTGGGACCAGGAATGAAGAGCAAAAACTCACTGTGGTTAGACCAGAGAAACCATTAGGTGTATCAAAGGTAGTAATGACAAATACTTAACCTAGAGGGCTTTTTTTCCTGCTAACATTTTTTAAAAGTATCAGCCATAATAACTTGGATATTTCTCTACAATATATGAAACTTAAAAATAATGTAAAAGCTTTCTGACAGAAAAAAGGATGGACCTTGAACATGTTATGGCAGCTCATTCTGAGAAAAAAAATACAGAAGAGGTAATCAAGATCACATTAAAACAAAGCTATGTCTCCTTAATATTTGTTTTTACAAAACACAGGTAAATGTTCATTTCTATTTATCATTTCCCTTTTAACTATTGCTAATTTTAAGCATTTCCCTCTTTTTTATGCATAATTTTAAGTCTTAACTTTTCACTCATTTCAGCTCTAAACATTTGTTTTTTAAAAAGTTCATTCAAGTCAAATATAGGTAAATTCAACATAAAAACAAAAAGGTACCCAGGTTTCAATACATTTAATCTACAGTTCATTTTTCATACTAAAAAAAAAAAAAATCAAGTGCTTTTTATCAAGTTGTGGAGTTTATCTTTCAGTAACTTTTCCTAGCTATGATTTGACTTTGCTATGTAGATGAGGGAGAATATAAAAATAGAATATTAGCTCATCCACAAAAAGACTGGCCAGTCTCAACAATCTACAACAGGATTGACTAGTCTTGTCACTGAATTCAACAAGCCAACAGCAAGGGGTTGCACTACTGAACAAGAAGCAAGAGAATGTAGGACAGCCTTCTTCTTCCAGCTATACCTACAGCAGCAAGACCTATAGCTGAATTGGAGACCTGACCTGAGATTGGACCTTTGAGTGTACAGCCAGTATTAGAAAAGGCTGAGGACTTTGTTGGACAACTGGTAGAAGGAAGCCAATATTGGCAGGAATGAGAACTGGGGAACACTGGCCTGAAGCCATAAGGCTCAAGGTGCCTGAGTGCAGATTTCTGGAGCTCACTTGACTGTATTCTCTTATGAATCTAGATTATAACCTTTTGACTTCCCCAGAACGGTTCTGTGAGCTATCATATCAGATTTTGAACCCAGAAAAGCAGTAAGATTGGTGTTGAGATGGGTGGAAAGAGCTATGGGAGCAGGTGAAACATGTCTGACCTTATGGGAACTGGTTTTGTCTTACTGATGCTGTGGACATGGACAGTTCTCCTTTGTGAAGTTGATCAAGGATGGCTATGGCCATCCCCATGTGGCCTTGTGTCTTTTTACACAACTTCTTCAGGCTGATAACATCTTCTAATATCGTAATATGATCCCTAGTACCTCTACCCCTTTTGAATAGAAATAAACCAAAAAAAAGTCTAGTCATTTGCTTTAAAATCTACTGTCATTCTTGAAATCACTGTTCAGATGGCAACTTAAAAAGTATAATCTTTACTTCTCAAAGAGTGAAACACAGCCTGGTGACTCTTCCTTAAAATCCTTCCTGAGGTATAACACACATACAATACACTACATCTATCTAATATGCACATTTTTATAACTTCTAATATACACACAGGGAGTTCTGCTGGCCTAGTGGAAAGAAGTTGTGCTGCAATCCTGAAGGCACGTGATTTGAGGCCACCAGCTGCTCAGCAGAAGGATGGGCAATTAACTGCTTCCCATGCCATTAACTGCTTCTGAAAACCCACTGGAAGGCCAGCTTTAGGTCGGTTCTCTACAGTATACAACAACAACATACATGTACCATCATGAAACCATTACCCTATTTAAGATAACCCATAATCATCAAATGTCTTTTTTATCCCTCCCTCCTCTCTCTCTCCTT